TCAAAATATCGCTCCGAACATCCGACAACATATGCCGTGACATTGGAACCTCACGCGAACGTTGGGAATCCTCCGCTATGGCCACATTCGACGTGACCCCAGCACGCCATTTTATTATCATGACCACCTATAAAACCAGACGATCACGATGAAGGATCGGGAACTCTTCAGTGGATATACGGCCAGATTTCCATCATATTCGGACGGTCGTATGATCAATAAGTGATTGGCCAAAGACTGGTGTATGGGCCATGAATTTCTTCGGGACCACACGCTGTTGAACAGGCTTTCGATGAATAAGCGAGAGACAGAAGTAGTCTAAGCCTTTGGGATCAACTCTTGCGATTGCGACCCTTATCACAGTAAAAAGGTGCACTTTCCATTCCGTAACCGCTTGATTCCGCAATGCAGACTTTGCAACATAGGCGTGGCATTAAATAATCACCAGAATCGAAAACCACACATGACATTGATTTTTTAGAACCTTCGACACGCGTGTTACTAATTCTGCAGAGCGGTAATAGCTCATGTAGCGAAGGCCTCGAAAAAATCAATATCTTGTGTTACTGTAAACGCTGATGATTATTTTACGTCACGCCTATGTTGCTAAGTCTGCACTGCAGACACACTGGGTACCGGAAACAAGGGTTTCGTAGGATAACCTCAGATCTTACATTTCGAGCCAAACCGGGATACATAACCCAAGTTGCCTTTCACATCAATCTACATGTTCCTGAGGACGTTCCTCATCATCAACTCGTGCCGCGATCTTTTTGTCTCGTAAAACAACCACATTGATCATCTCTGATTGCTCCTAATTTCCCTGCGCAACTCTCGGCAACTAGAACCTCCTTAGGGACTCGATTCCCAAACCAGTTCCCTGTGAAGCCTCGAACGAGAATGATTTGTCTATCTTAGGAAAACCTGAGTCACTATCTAAACAAGCTACCATTTGGGGAAAAAACGGCAGCCACTCCTCACTTATCCGTTAGCTAATTACCACGTTGTCGCGCTGAAAACGCACATGCGCTTCACGGTTATCCGTATGTCACAGTCATTAAGTGGATCACCTGCTCGTCTAGCCAAGTATTTGACTGTCTGACAGGAAGTGTGAAGTATAGTGCCAAACATGCCCTAACAGCAGGTGATCATTGTCACTGTCACCTGTTGACGTTGCGTAACCTTTCTGAGCTCTCCGAGAGCACATCTCATCAGAGCATACACAAACCTTGACTATGTGGTAAGTGCAGGTAGGCAGGCCACGTTGTGAGTCAGCAATGACCCCAGAAAACGTCTCATCAAACATGCGCTCCTCGTGCGACGATCGCGCTGACCCTTCGCGACGGGAAAGCCGTCGGCAAACATCCGCCCGCTGCGCGACACCTCGATCGTTCACTTCGGAGAACGGAGGTGTTAAATGACCCCTTAATGAATAGAACGCTCTCACCAAACACCTCTGGACAACACAGCCGTACGTAGGTCAGACAGTGGAACAACCTGCGCCCATTCTCGTTGTTCTCAATGGTAGACGGGTAAACATGTAAGTCAAATACCGGGCTGGCGATTGATACTATCAACTTAGGTGCTAAACCGAGTCTATATTCGATCGTTGGCGGGGACCTTTTACACGTAATGCTTTTCAAAAGCAATTGGAGCTCAGACCAATTAGGACCAGCAAACGACGCCTTAACGAGCCATTTCCGGCAGCACTTGATCGGAGCTATATCTGCCAGCCACATGGAAATTCGCTTCATAAAAGCTAATGAAGGTGGACGTCTCTTGAAGAATCCCGTTACGTAACCCAAGCAGGAGTAGAGTCGGAGTACAGCGAACTTAAGGACACAGGTAAGCTAAATTTAAGAAGAGCTCGCTTGGTTGATACTCCAATTACGACTAGCAGACAGTCTGTAGACTGAGCGTCTTCAACACATTCATTTTTGAAGAATAAAGTCCTCTCCACTATCAAAAGCCTGTTCGCAGTCGGAATTTCACACAGTTCCCATCGAACATACCATCTCCAATGACAATCACAATTGATCCGAGGGGGGGTTACATTAACACCCATCGAAAGAGGGTCACTAATCCCTCGACGTGAATCTCGGCGATCTCGTTGAGGTAGAACGATCACCATTCACTTCAATTGGTCTTCTTCACCGTTTTGTTCGTCTCACTCGCCAAATCCTCTCCCTCTCTCACCATTTCATTAGCAGGCGTTAGCACTCACGATTGCAAGCGAGCCAAATGAAACATCCTTGATCAAACGGCAATAAAGGCAGAAGCGCGGGTAAACAAGAATGGGATATATTACTACAAGGATGGCTTGCAGTTAATTGGACGAGATCGCCAGGGGTTTCGTGGCTACTTTTATGTCCAATGATAGAGTCGCTCACCATTAGAAGAGAGTTAATTCAAACTCCAATCAACTCCAAGTTCCAATCTCACTCGTAGCCTAGGGTTCCCTACCCTTAGAGTTCAACCTCTCGAGAACTCGCCAATAAAAAGCAATCTACGCCCCTTATTTGCTCAACCAGAGTTATCCCGAATTTCCTGCAGCAGACCCGGTAAAAATCGCAAATTCGAAAAAGACGGTCAAATATTTTCGACCACAGCTCTTCATAGACGCACTATTTCTGAGGACAAGGAACCTCGGAACCCTTTTGAACGCCCCTTTCTTCCCGACTTCCACCACCTCTCTACATCAAAGAATCTGATTAATCGCCACTACTTGCCAGCCGTTGCGCTGGCAGACCGGAAGCGCTTTCGCTGGCTGGGCACTCTTCCAGCAGCACATAGGAAGCCGGTAACGATTTGTCATCGACAATATGGTATGGTAATGAGAACATAACCCGAAAGGACAGCCTGGTGGACGGAAGACTGAGCACAGACCGATTACCACCCCACCACTCGTCTTGCCTTTCGATTCGCGCATAAGATATGCCCGGATAGGCGAAACAATTCCGAGCCGATTAAGGGCACTGATCTCATAATAACGCACGAGGACATGTACGGTATAGTAGATCTCGAACTGATTGCAACGCATTTGACGACAATTAGGTCCTTGTCAACCCATCAATTAGTCCAATTAGAAAAAAGAAAATGGATTACAAAATCCTTGCGATAAATCAAAAAGATAATCAACACTCACGGTGATCGTCAACAGCGACACACAGACGCCATTCTCCTCGAAACCAAAACGTACATACTTCGTTGATGGATTAAGCGTAACAGACTGAGTTGTTTCGGAAATCACCGCTGTTGTATCTTTAGTGAGCACCGATACCGGCGTCCTTAAAGCAGCAAAATTTCAAAAATAGGAAGTAAAAAAAGCAATAAAAAGACAAGGCGAAATTGCCCAAACAACAAACCAAGTAGCGATTGTCCTGTTGAACGTATCCCTATCCACATCGTTGACTTTTCGATCGTATTGCTTCACGAAAAGATTGAACGTTTCCTTGCACGATTTTGGATCATGGTATTGATCACAGGATCGCGTATTGTACAAGACGTTGATGTAAATTCTACAAAATCACAAATTAATCAAATGGAGCGGATCCCAACCCCTTGGCTCGTTTGGTGAAGTTTTACAGCTACTACCTAGTTAGGCCATAGCAAAAATACTCACATATTAGCCGATTCCCGTGGTATCAACGGCGTAAACACCCAATTTCCTGGATTCGCCACATGAAAACTACACGCGACATAGGCGCGTTCGTTTGACTTTTCATCCAAACCACGCCATGACTCCTCCGTCCACTGAAAGGCAACATATCATATTTCTTTTTCGAAAACTTCTACTTCAAAATTTGGATTGAAAGACCACTGCTTAAAACTCTTTGCGTAAAATGAACTGGTCATGTTTTTGTTTCGACAGCGCTTGTTTTGGCCATGTCCCAACAAAAGGCAGCCAGCTTCAACGAGCGTAAAGGTACAGAGAAGTTCATCCAACGTAAGCGACTAAGCCCAGTTTACGGTGAATGACAAGATTTTAGCCCTAAAGAGAATTCAGAGCTACCCGAATCTTCGCAATAGCGTTTTGAAACCGTGAGGAAAACCTAATTTGATGACCATGTGACCCAAACCTTTCAAGCACCATTACCCCACCAAGTTTCCCCAAACGACCCATTTAAATAGCTCCAATCAACAGTGCTTAGCATTTTGCTAACTGTCTCGCACCAGCTGGAGTAATTCATCAGAAACCAGGAGCCAGATGGCCTTCCCGGGCACCTTGGATGTAACGTTGGCCAGCGATGAATTTACCCCTTGCCTGGTTCCCATGTCCACTTAGGCAGCAACGCGTTCTTCGCATTATCTCACCCTGCAATCTCGCCGTCCTCGACCACACTACACATCCTCCTCTCGCTCTTACCTTTCGCGCATTCCTAATCAGCTCATCAACTCATAGCATGGGCTTATCTATGTATAGCAGGACTTGTCGCATAATCCAATGGTTCCAGATGAAGGGGGAAAACCACAGAAGTTCAAACCCCATTGGAGCCAGTCTCTCTACCAAAGCATCCGAAGAGGAGCCAAACACCCCGAAACATAGATCGGCACCATCGTAGTAGCCATCGTGAAGAATGAAATGAAAGTTCGTCACGCAATGTGCGAAACGTGATTGTTCGTCCCATACTTTCCTTCCAATTACATGTCTGCGAGCCG